AACAAAATTTAATAATTGACATTAAAAAATGTGTCCTATAATAACTTGAAATTTTAAAGTAGAAGACAAAAATGACTTTACAAAGTAACTGGTTACCAGGAAGACTCATTTTTCATACCTTTTCCTTTTTTAACGTTTTTCTCTGCTTCTTCAAACAATCCAGGAAGATGAATTACCACACCATTTCCTAAAGGAAAACAAATCCCAGCCTTGAATATTTATAATTATAATGTAGACATATATAATGACATTAAAATATAGACATCTACAATAACCCTTTATCTAGAATAGTGGAAGAGTGAGACACTTTGATACTAGGACATTCTGATTTATCAGGGAGTTATCACAGAAATGATTCCAAGTTTTAAATACTAGTATAATGTAAATACATAATGGAACATAATACACAGAATATAAAACACCAAAATTACACTCAACATAATTTGAAATCTATTTGAAAGAAACTGAAAAATAGAATTTTGAAAGAAACTAGTTACGTAATTTTAGGCAAGATCAAACCTGGTCACAGTAGATCAAGGTCTTTTAAATTGGGGAATTATACCCTATTAGTGTCATAAAATCAATCTAGTGGGTTGTGATTAGCATTTTAAAAATTAAAAAGTAGAACAGAAAACATCAGATTGCATCACATGTTGTAAGGGTTCAGAATCAATCCATGAACCTCTCGAATTTCTTACTTTGAATCACAGTTAAAAGTATTTGGAAAACCAATTTGATGATCTAATATTTCTTCATAGAATTATGATTGCCAGTGATCACAGACAAATGCAAAGTAATGATACCAGAAAGTATTACTGCTACAAGGTCTAACAGAGTTACAAATAGCCAAAGTTAGGTATATTCTGGAAGGTATTATGGTCAAAATTAATAAGAGATCAATGAACCATCTGGTTAGCAAGAGATTAGTTTATATACTTACCAATGAAGGCAGTCACATTTGGATTAATTATTCCACTGGGTAAAAGATGAAAATCATATTCCACAGAATCTACCACAACTGTATGGCCAGCATTATTTCCTCCCTAAAATATAAGATAGGGGACAATTGAGCCTGGCAATAAATATGACAAAACATATCTCCTTCCAAAGTGATTTAATGATTTCCTGCTAAAAGGTCAACATAATTTGAGGAAGCCCAAATATTTGCCACATATACTGATTTGTTAAAGCATTACAATAGTTTGGCTGTCTCCTTTCCCCACTGTAATACACTTAAGAGATTGTCCTGAAAGGATCTGAAAATCAGAGAATTCAGGTTTCTGGAAGACAANACTTAAGAGATTGTCCTGAAAGGATCTGAAAATCAGAGAATTCAGGTTTCTGGAAGACAAGAAGTCATCACTCTTCTTAAAAGAGGAAAAAATAAAAAGTAAAAAAAGTACAGAGAACAATTGGCCCTATGTAGGATGAGCAGCAATCTAATTAATTATCCATGGTATTTTATCTACACAAAAAATATCTCTAAGGTAAGAAGAGTGATCTACTCAGTTATCCAACCTGATGTAAATATTCATGTAATTCCGATTGTCATAAGAGTGTGTCAAGCAACTTTGTGATTTGAAATTTGTATTACATGGGCTTAACAGTTAGGGTCTTCCCCCAGGTAACTCCCCTAAATATTGGTTATCCTGACACACTAACTGATAAATCAGCCTTGTGCGTTTGGCTAATGACAGATCCCTGGAACCTGCTCATCTCTGGATAAAGTAATACACTGTGTCAAGGAACCTCTAATACAGAGAATCATACCATAAACCCATGGTGAAACTTCAGCTTTATGAAATTTGTGCCTCTGTGGCCAAGAAAAAATAAAATGTGACAAGCCAAATTATAAATATTAGGTACAAAGGAGACAATATTAAGTGACCAGATAATTTTTCCAAT